ATGGAGTTTGCAGGAGACCATTAGTTCACATAATTGGTTCGTGACTCTCCGAGACTCCTGGCCAAGTTCTGCAGAGATCAGCCTGGCAGCTCTCCAAGCCAGAGAAGGTCCGTGACTGTAAATCCTCCCTTGAAAGATTTTGCAGGGTGTGAATGAGCAGAATTCCCAGTCAATGAATAAAAGGTATTGTTTTGTCAGGACCAGGAAGCTCTCAGGAAGCCTCGGTCAGAACAGGGACAGCTGCTATGATTTCTCTTTCTTTTGATGTTCTCCAGGTCACTGAAACGCGGACAGGTCCTCTGGGCTGCAACAGTTATGACAATCTGGACTCTGTGAGTTCAGTCCTTCTGCAAAGCACGGAGAGCAAACTCCATCTCCAAGGTAAGGGGGAAAAAGGGGAACCAAAGGCACAACTGCCCCAGAGTTGGTGGGAATGGTCTCTTCTTCACTCTCTTAACATCTCTGTCCTTTACAAGTTTCAAGGAACTGGATCCAGGTGAGATACAGGGGGGCTTTATCTTTGGCTGGCATCTTTCTTTCATGTCTACTGAGATTCTCAAATCATCCAGGTCGCAATTATCCCACAGGTGCTTTTGCAAAAGGCAGCCAAGTTTTCTTGGTTTTTCTTCCCTTGAAAACATTTTGCTCCTCATCCCAGAAGCTTCTTCAGTTCATGAATTTCTTGGATAAGAAGCAAAAAAATTTTCAAGGGAAATTAAAAAAAAGGAAGTCCAGTTGCCTTTGGAGAAAGCTGTCCTGGGACATCATTGCTCTTGGATTTTGCTTGGTGTTTATTTACAATAAAGGAGAATATTTTTAGCTCTTGGTTGAAATAAAGGGTCCCTGTGGCACTTGTTGGTTGCTTTCCTGCAGCAAGAGAACAAACCCCACTCCCTTTTAGCACTGATGATGTTACCTCGTTGGGTCATGAAACGTCGTCAAGAAAGCCACCGAGCTTTCTCAGAGAGCATCAAGAAACCCACAGTCCTCCTCCTCTTCCTCCTTTTCTCCTCTTCCTCCAGTCTGCAAACCCCACTCCCTTATAGCACTGATGATGTTACCTAGTTGGGTCATGAAACATCTGTAAGAAAACAAGCTAGCTCAATGTCAGCCTTCCAAGTATCATGTAGAATTAAATCAGAGTCCAAGGCAAAACGATCCTTAAAGTTCCAATTTAATAAAGCAGACATCCCACAGTCCTTCTTCTCCTCCTTCCCCTTCTCTTCCTCCTTCTCCTTCTCCTTCTCCTCCTCCTCCTCCTCACTACTTCTTCTAGCAATCATGATGTTGGGTAATGAAACATCTGCAAGAAAACAAGCAAGCTCAGAGAGCACTAAGAAACCTCCAGTCCTCGTCCTCCTCCTCTTCCTCCCTTTCTCCGCCTCCTTCATTCTGCAACTTCCACTCCCTTCTAGCACTGATGATGTTACCTAGTTGGGTAATGAAAGGTCTGCAAGAAAACAACCAAGCTCAGAAAGCACCAGGGCCTTTCAAATTATTCACAGTCAAATTTTGCCTCTAAGATGTGGCTCTGGTCTTACTGAGCTGAAAAAGGAGTGAAATTTAGCATGGCACATGAGATTCTTTGTCTTTCCTATTTAATGTTCTCGATGCAAACTTTCCTCCAGACATGTTTAGTCACAAGCTCCCTGTGGGATGCTAAATCCTCACATCTGTGCATGAGAAATCCTTTTTTTTTTTTTTTCATTTTTGTTTGTTTGCTTGTGTCTTGCCTCTAATGCTTTCCTGGGGTTCCTGAGCCTGTTATTAAATCAATATATCAGAAACAATCGAAATAACATGATAGCGCAAACCTCCAACTTGTT